TGTCTCTAATGGGCTATGAGTTGCAAATGACCGTATGTACATATGCTTCTTTATGTGCAATTCGATGCAGATTCGGGGCTAATAAGCGTTTGTATAATTGTTTACCTCCACGTATGTACGTATGTGTATTACTTCGTGGTACAGATGCTGGGAGGACAGAAATAAAATATGCTATTGTTTGGTACCTGTTATATTTAGGTGTTTTTGATATTTGCTATTTATGGGTTTTAGAAGCTGTAATATAATATGTTTACATACATAAATATGCAGTATTTACTGCCACTTCTTTTCCACTTTGTTTTGCCAATCTTTTTCGCGCAAAAATTTTTTGTTTCGTTGATATTGTTCTGTCTTATTTCTGCTGCTTATTTTGTATGCAATCCTGCTTTTGCTTGCTATGAGTACAAGCAAAGGGGTATCGCCGGGCAATTATTGCAAGTAGATACTTGAATTTGGTATGTTTTGGGCTTTGGTGTGTTACTAAACACGAAAAATAAGCTGAAGCAGAAATTTAAGGGTTTTTTCGTGCGTACATATGTATGTACATACGGATTTTTTATTTTTTGTTCAAACTGTTTTTTGGAACCGTAAATTTTTACCGATATGTATATTTATGTATGTAAATGTGTATATATATATATATCTATAGTTTTGAAAAATTTCAGTAAATATCGGTATTTTTTTTTTATATATATGTAAGTAAAATCTCAATTTAATGGTTCGATACAACTCACTTTGGCGGTAGGGGGTATATGGGTTTAATTATGGGTTATTATTTGAGGATATAGTTCCCAAGCTCCTGATCCTGCTACTTCCTCCTCGTTGCGTGTTTCCCTCGTTGAGCCTAACTGCGATAAAGTGCTTCCTTCTATAGTGTTGTTTTTTGGGTGAATTATGTTTTTACATTAAATTATTTCGCGCCCGATTTTGTACCGATGTTTAATGTGAAATTATTATTGTTTTTAGTGTGTATAAGTGTTACGCGACGCGCCCGGAATAAAATGTTAAAGTTTATAAATGTATGCATGTACGCTCTTCTTCACTTTTTATTTAAGTATGTGGTAGCTATGGAACTTTTTGAATGTTAAATTAGTACACATTTTCTTTTGCGTTCAGTTTTCACTTGGTAATATACCTATTAATTTTTTTAATTGTTAAACTTTGTTTGTGGTTTTAATTTGTGGACTGTAAATGTATATTTTTTATGTTTATTAATTTTTTTTTGTTTCTCTATAGGTGCCGTCCAGTCGTACACCACGGGCACACACTTTGGGGGGCACACTCACCACTAGCTTCGAACTTTTTTTTTAAATAAACAAGTAGAACCTTTTGGGGGAATATTAACACACTTTATTAAATTTGCTTTAGCGGGGTTATAGCGCAGAACACGTCTGGTCGATATGACATTCGCAAAATTGTGTCTTGTTTCATATTATGTTGTAATTCATGTGTGTGTGTATGTGTAAATACAATTCATGTGTATATGTGTGTGTGTAGGTGTATTATGTGTACGTGGGTGGAACGGGCCGTGGTGAGTAGGCGATTAGGCAATGTTGCTGCTGTCACGGAGCCATTCACGGTCGAAAAAGGGGCAACGGCCGAACTCATTTAGCCACTATGAATTTGTTAAAGTTTTTGTTTTATATACTTGTTTATTTGTACTTTGTTTATGCGGAAACTCTGTACATGATTCAAACGATGTTAAAACTAAATATGCTACCTATGTAACTAAATATTTTTGCCTAATAACAATAATGCCAAGAAGAGTACAATTACTTCAAATATATGCCGTCGATTGAAAAAGGCTGCATAATTTTTATGTGATTTTCTAGGTTTTTTGTTTTGTATGCAATACGTATTATAATAATATGATAATTCGGCAATTGAACTAAAGAACTAGTTCACTAAGGTAAGCGAACTACAACTGAACGGTTCACTCAAAAGAAAAGTGCTCAACTCTATTCAATATGTACTTTTGAATTTAACTATTAGAAAACGAGACCAATATTCAGATTTGATTTTTTGTATTTGGTGTCGATATTTGGGATATCGAATGGGTACCCAATATTTTTACAGCGATACTTTAAATGAATACCATATCGATACTTTCTGCTCGATATCGTGTCCCTAACTAAGTTTAATTTGTTGTGCTAGTTCTCGATTTAGCACCCTTTGATTGTGAAGCAGGAAATGCAACAATTTAATATAGTTTCACATTCTTCAAAAAATTACTTAACTCAAGGAATTTAAAAGATTGGCTAAATAAACTTTTTGGCTCGTAGTTATAGTCAAAATAAAGTCGACTCTAAAGTTAAAAGCAGGTTTCTTTGACAGATATCCCCTTGAAAGTTATGTCAAAAAGCTGCTTTTAACTTTACAGTCGACTTTATTTTGACTATAAGTACGGGCCATTATGTGTTAACTTACACACTAAAAACGGTGACAGGTAACAAGATCAACGGAAATAAGGTCAATTGACCCTATTTAGCATACTGGTGCGAGCTAAAGTCAATTGACATTATTACCTTTTCAAAAGCGAAATAAAATCCATTGTCATTATTGCTCTTTGAAACATTAAATTTGCGTAGCTTCGCGGCGGCCCGCGACCGCGTGCCACACCGCCGTGCTGTAATGCAGGTAGATTTATTTTTTGTATACTTTTAATTTAAGTTTTTATATATTTCACATAACTAACTGCACACTTTTCACAAAAATGAGATTCTGATATAAAAATCCACCTCATTTAACTGTTATCGGTGATACTAATGCTGACCTTGTATAACGCTTGACAGAAGAATTTACAGTTTTAAATTACAAATCAGAATTAACATCAGTGATTACAGGTAAGTCCCAGATGGGTTCAATCACAAAAAATCACAGTATTATGAAAAAGTGGTTTGTGTTTGGATATTTTAGTAAATAATGTGAAATTCACGTCAAACGACAATAACGGCGTTTGCTGAAAAATGTATTGTCTTTATAATTTTCTGGGCGCCTACTTTACACAACGATTTGACAACTAATACATATTCTCAATTGTCTTATGTAAACGCAGCGTTATTCCGAATTCGTTCAAAATATGCTAATTTAAAAACAATTCTTTTTAGGTTCCTCCGGGGTTTTTGGGAATGGCGGCAATCCACTGTTTCTTCAATTTAATAGTGTTCGCTTTATTTTTGTGGAAACGAAACATATTTTGCCAGTTCTTCTTTCGTCAAATATTTCTCGTATTCAAGCTCTTTTTGCGTTGGTTTTTCGCGTGGCGTTTTTATTATATTCGTAATTAAAATTTTTTTTAATAAAATCAATTAGTGGTGGTTCAAGATTCTGTTTTGATTAATAGCACTATTGATTTGGAAATAATAACCTCTTTCATCTATGGAAAAAATACTTACGGGGCAAAGTTGTTTATTGTAACAACATTCATATCTCACGTACGATGCAAGAACATTTTTTTCTTTGAATCGACATACTTTAAGCATTGTTGACTATTTCCATTTGAATGAGGAAACAGCATCATTTACTTTATTTCCAATTTTTTTTTAACTTTATATCACTTTTGAAAAGGTAATAATGTCCAATTGACTTGATTTCGCGCCAGTATGCAAAATAGTGTCAATTGACCTTATTTCAGTTGTTGTTGAATAAAGGAGCTTAAATCGACAAATGGAAGAATTTTCGTTTGACAGAAAGTGAAGGCGAAGCAGAGCCACAATCTTATCGCCTCAAATGCAATGATTCACTTCCTTATATCCAGAAAAGGTACCGGAAACTTAACCCGCTACAGTTGCATGCAGAATTTAGCAAGCACTTCTGGCACCAGGCAAACGTTCCTCAGCACGCCAAAGACAATCAATAATTAGTTTTCATGACTAATGACCCCGTCAGACTAGGTACTTTGCGTACGTTCCGCTCAAGGATGAAACTGACAGTTGAGTAGACTGTGTGTGTTTGCATAGAGAGTGTCAGATTGGCAACCATTGCGTCGACGGACCCAACGAACATTGGCCAACACTCAACTTTTGACGCAAGTAAATCCGGCAATGCTGACATTTGTATAACCTTGCGTTTACACAATACAATACAATTGAGAATATGTTTAAATTGTTACATTGTTTGAGTAAAGTAGGCGTCCGGACAATCAACTGTCTTCGAAAAGTCAAAGACAGTGACGAGGAACTATCCTACGATATTATTGATGGCTTAGTTGACTGTCCTGAGGTTCTTGAGCAAATAAATTTCAATGTTTCGTATAGAACTTTACGCTCTCATTACCCTTTTCATATTAAATTAAATAAAGCTAATTATTATAATTATGACCCCATTTCAAGGGCTCTCATGGAATTTAATAGAATTTCTAGGAGCTTTGATCTGGACTTCGCTTTCCCGAGATCTCGTTTTGGTTCATTACTAGAATAAATTTCTTTCTAATCATATATTTTAAATATCTAATTTACGGTTAAGATGATAAGTCTGTAAGATTGGTATATCATAGGCTTAATAAATGAAATGAAAGACATCGAGAGAAGTGTGAATACCCTAGTAAAAAAGTGTGAATGTATTGCTAATGTATCTGCAAAATTGACTTGTGTAAACCCCAAGTACGCGGGCTCAAGGAACAGCTGATTTTTGTTTGAAGACGCAACAACTTCATTGTGGCGTATCTCTACGTTACGTACGATCCTTTATTGACGTACAAGTACACATTCTGGCGGGGCTATAAGTAAATAATTACAAATCGGATATCTTAAATTCTGCAAAAGAAAAAAAAACACTTTGGTTTTATGAGCGTGATCACGCGTGAGTGGCGTGAGTGGCGTGAGTCCGATATTTATTGTGCGTGCTTAAGCGTGACACAACTTTGTTTTTGATTGCGTGATTGTGAGTGACATGATTCAAAATTTCTTCACGCGCATCTCTGGTTCTTATGTACATATATGTAAATATATATGTATATTTGTTCTTGGAAAAAGTTTTTGTAAATCTAATACAACACATACCTCACTGTAGTGACGATGCCGGATTTGCTGTCAATCGTGAACATCGATTGTGTTTCATTGGCCAACGAATACACCAGACGCGCATTGATACCCAAATCAGCGTCTGTCGCTTTTATGTGCAACACACTTGTACCGACCAGTGTATTCTCGGGTATGCTGGCCATATACTTTGCCTGTTCGAAGCTAGGATCGTTGTCGTTCTCATCTTCAACGTGAACTGTTATGTTACAGTGACCTTGGAAATTTTTGGGCGAGCCACGATCTTGAGCCTGGATCTGAAGCAGATAATGTGAATACTGCTCACGATCGAGATGGCGTGCAGTCAATTCGCCCGTATGCATATCGATGCTGAATTTATTGCCGACATTTCCACCTAGAAAGACAAAATTCCAAAGAGCGAAAAATTATGAATTAGTGTGCAGCAAATAAAAGTAAATATTGCAGTCAATTGTGCGCAATTTAAATTTAGGGCCATTTCCTGTGCAACAATTTCAGATCCATGATTCCAACTCAGGATGGTAAAACCTCGAAGCATTTTTGCGTTGTCAAGCAATATTTTGGTATTGCCATATTAAGTTTGCAAATTTTTTTTTGAATGTTTTTAGAATAAGTGTATAAATGGTTAAAATTCATATCGAAGCGAAATATGTACCTAGGGCACGTATAGTAAAATTTCACAAGGCATCATTTAGTAGAATATTTTAACCCATGGAACAAATGCAATATAGCTACGGTGACCAGTCGTACCGATTTTGGCGGGACAGTACCAATTTTGAGAAAATTGTCCCGCTGAATATTTTTTAAAAGTCGGGACGTATAAGTGTCCCGATTTTTCATATTTGTACCAGTTAAGTCCCAATTTTTCAGTGTTTTCTTATTAATTTAATAAGAGTATCCTTGTACTCTGGCCCAAAAACAATTTTTCGTAGAAACGTGGCAGCACTTTCGTTATCACAAACGACATAGAATATAAGGGAGCCATAAACATACGCAGCATCCTTGTTTTCTGTCATCGTTGTCACAGTTTTTTAAGGCTTTTATAATGATTTGTTAAGTTTTTTTTTAAATAAACAATTCTAACTTGATTTTAGTTAAATTAAATATAAATAAAAGTTTAAAAAACTAAAACCCCGCTGTTATAATTTCCATTCGTACTGTCATCAGGTATGTAACTTGAGAATAGAAATCGCTGCATCTTTTAGGCGCATCAATATTACATAGTTACATCCCGAGCTAATAAAAGGGAGGTAAAAAAATAATACTAACTCGGTAACAGGTAGTAAGATCAACGGAAATAAGGTCAATTGACTTTATTTCCCACCCTGGTGCGAAATTAAGTCAATTGACATTATTACCTTTTTAAAAACGAAATAAAATCCATTGACATTATTTCTCTTTCAAACATTAAATTTGCTTAGCTTGGCGGCGGCCCCCGTCAGCGCGCCACCCCGCGCGCGCCGCGCGACCGGCGCGCACACCACGTCACGCTACGCCTCCTTAGCTGCTTTTAAATGATGTCGTCACAAATTGCTGGCGGAGACAGACNAAAATCCATTGACATTATTTCTCTTTCAAACATTAAATTTGCTTAGCTTGGCGGCGGCCCCCGTCAGCGCGCCACACCGCGCGCGCCGCGCGACCGGCGCGCACACCACGTCACGCTACGCCTCCTTAGCTGCTTTTAAATGATGTCGTCACAAATTGCTGGCGGAGACAGACATTGTTTCCTTATAGAAAGGTTGGTTTCTTTTTCACCTTAGACATTCCGAATTCGTTCAAAATATGCTAATTTAAAACACATAATTCTTTCAGGGTTCCTCCGGGGTTTTTGGACATGGACTGTTTCTTCAATTTGATAGTGTTCGCTTTATTTGTGTGGAAATGAAACATGTTTTGCAAGTTGTGGATCATTTCTACACTCTTTCTTCAAATATTTCTCGTATTCCAGCTGTGCGTTTTTACATATTCGTAATTTAAATTTTTTAAATAAAATCAATTGGTGGTAGTTCATGATTGTGTGTGGATTAATATCACAACACTGAGGATTTGGCAATAACCTTTTTCATCTATTAAAAAACAACACTTACGGGGCAATCTTTATTGTAAGAACAAAATTTTTTTCTATGAATCGACATACTTTAACCATTGTTGACGCTATTTCCATTTGAATGAGGAAATAGCGTCAATGACTTTATTTCCAAACTTTTCTTGACTTTATTTCGCTTTTGAAAAGGTAATAATGTCAATTGACCTTATTTCCATTGACCTTATTACCTGTCACCACTAATTCCCTTAAAAAAACATGGACATGAAAAATATAAGTGGCGAAAGTATAAACAGGAAAGAGACATTTAAGCATTCTTTGGGTATTCCCCTTTCGATTGTTTAATGTTTATTATTTTTTATGAAACTGAAAGACTATGTAAGTAAAAATTTAAAATTTTGTATAAAAATTAGCAAAATTTGACAAAGTTTCATCATAATTTTGAGCTTTTTAATTAGATTTCTACGAAGCTGAGTATGCAGTTTTGTAGCCTATTAGATTTTTAATAATACTAATAATAATCCCAACGGTTTTTACCCTCCATTCCCGCCCATCCGCACGGGGGGCGCAGTCCGCGTGACGTACGGAAACCAGTATTTTCAATTTTTGCGCCGAGTCACGATAGGCAGGAGTTTGTTAAGTGTCGAGATCTAAAACTGTTCAGCTACAGAACTAAATTCATCAGCCGATTTTATGTCTTTATTTTAATGATTCATTTATTGAGAGAGGACAGTATCGATTTCTTAATGCTGAAAAGCGGATCAGATATACAAAAACGTGCTGGAATGAGAGTTAAAATCCTGGCATAAGCAACGGAGTGGGTCGTGCAATTCAAAATTAGTTTTACAAGCTTTCAGAAATAGGGGACAAAAGTGTCTTGATACCCGGGAGGGAACATTAAGGCTAACTTCGCCCAGAAGAAGCGGACTTGAAATTGAGCCTGTCAGTAATTTAACTATAAATATTGTACCAAGCATTTGCCTGCGGTTGGAAAGTGTAGGAAGATTCATATGTTTTAATCGGCTCGTATAAGGTGAAAGGTTATATTGAGAATCCCAACGGAAATTTCTTGAAGCAAAAAGTAGGAATCGTTTTTGAATTGATTCTATCTTGTCGAGTAAATTTGATACCTTGGATTCCAAACCACCGAACCGTATTCCAGAATTGGCCTAACTAATGTTGTAAACAGGGTTTTAGTGATATAAGGGCCACAAAATTCTTTTGACCATCGTTTCACAAATGCAAGTACACCTTTAGCCTTGTTGACTGTCACATTAAAATGAAGATTAAAATTAAGCTTAGGATCCATTGTGATATCAAGGTCCACAAAATTGTATACCTGTTCCAGGTTATGGTTACCTATTGTATAATAAGCAGGATGAACAGCTCGTCGCGAGAAGCACATTACTTTACATTTCTTAAGATTTAGAGGCATGAGATTTACTTGACACCAGTAAGCCATGCTGTGTAAGTCTGATTGTAGCAAAGACCTTTCTTTAATTGAAACGTACGATTTATAAAGCTTTACATCATCTGCATACATTAAAATTTTGGAAAATTTTATATCTGTAGAAATATCGTTTATAAAAGCAAGAACAGAACCGGGCCTAGGTGGCTACCTTGAGGGACTCCTGAAGTAACATTAATGATGTCCGAGATAGTATTTTTAAACATTACCCTTTGTGATCTATCATAGAGGTATGAAGAGATCCAACGTAGAAAATTAGGTGGAAGACCAAGAAGATCAAGTTGATGGATGAGCAACGAGTGGCACACTTTGTCAAATGCTTTACTGAAGTCAGTATATATAACATCAACAGTTTTGCTTTCACTAAATGCTTTTGAGATATAGGATCAGTGTTGCCGTTTTAGCCCTTTGGTGGCTAAATTTGGCTACTAAATTCTTTTTTTGGCCACAAAAATTTGAAATTGCCCCTAGCCCTTTTTTTAGCCCTTTTCAAAATTTATTCATCATTGACATTAAAATTTTTTATATGATTTTCATGAATTTAACTCTTCGCTTATAAAGCGAACGCCTTTCCTTCAAGGCAAATAAACTGTTCATTGTGTCGCTAGCTTAAGTGGTGGAAAAAGTTTGTTTATCGGTTGCTTCTTTTACCTTTAAGTAACGCAGAAGTTGAAAGGACGTTTTCTATAATAAATTTCGTTAAAAATAAGCACAGAAATAAAATTAATTTTGCAATGTTAAACGCTTTATTAACTGTAAGATATGGCTTAAAAAATGTACAGAAATGTTGTCATGAATTTTTATTTTTTTTTTTTGAAATTAAAGATAATATCGTCAGGTTAATGAGAAATGAGCAAAATTGTAACGACGAAGAATCGCTTAGCGATGATTATATTGATATAGATATAGATATTTAATGTGTTAAAAAAAATGTTTATAGATTAAATTATTTTACTATGAGTTCATTAAATGAATACTCTTTTGTTTGTTTGATACATACAGCGCCGGACAATAATAAAGCACCGACATTTTAATTCTTTGTAAATTATAACATAATATTTTAAAAATTTCTTTTACAAATGGATATTTTTCGAAGCATAGTTTGAAATTATTTAAGTTATTTAGTATTGTCCGACACTGTATATAGATATGATTCTAGTACTTATGTATTCTTAATGTGATCTCATTTTTTTGTTTATGTAAGAAATTAATTAATTAATAACATATGTATAATGTATATATGTTTTTTACGTTTCTGGGCCGTTATCTTATCCATTAACGATTTAACTATACTTTAAAATAGGTAAGTTGGCGGCCCTTAATATGCTTTATGTGTTACACAACAAGTTTTTTTGTTGAATAAAATATTAATTCTTTCCAGAGTTCATTGTTTTTCTATATCATTACTTATAGAAAATGTTTGCGTGTATACTTATATATTTATATGTAGGTAAAAAAATTTAGCTACCATTTTTAGCCACAACGACGATTTTTAGCTCTTTTTTAGCCCTTTTTTAGCCTGAATTTAGCTACCGCTAAAAATGTTTCGCGGCAACACTGTATAGGATGTTAATTCAAGTAAATTTGTAGAAGTGGATTTGCCCTTGCAAAATCCATGTTGACTATATGAAATGCTAGAAGAAATANTTAAAATTAAGCTTAGGATCCATTGTGATATCAAGGTCCACAAAATTGTATACCTGTTCCAGGTTATGGTTACCTATTGTATAATAAGCAGGATNTGATTTGTTATAATTGCTTCAAATAATTTAGCAATTGCAGAAAGCTTAGCTATTCCCCGGTAGTTCTCCACTGAAGATCTGCACCCGCTTTTATGTAACGGGGTTATGAACGATTCCTT